AGCAGGCGGACTCTCAACCACTGAGCCACCAGGGAAGCCCGAGATTTCCTTATTTTTTAAGGCTGACTAATATTCCATTGTGTGTATTGATATATACCACATTTTCTTTATCCATTCATCCGTCAATGGACATTTAGGTTGCTTCTACCTCTTGGCAGAAAAATGCTGCAATGAACGTGAGTGTGCAAATATCTCTTTGAAATCCTGTTGTCAATTCTTCTAAAAGTGGGATTTCTGGGTCATATAGCAATCTATTTTTTTCTAAGACTTAATTTTTTTTTTGATTAGTTTTAGGTTCACAGCACAACTGAGAAAAAGGTACAAGATTTCCCGTATAGGGCTTCCCTGGTGGCGCAGTGGTTGAGAATCTTCTGACAATGCAGGGGACACGGGTTCGAGCCCTGGTCTGGGAGGATCCCACATGCCGCGGAGCAACTAAGCCCGTGAGCCACAACTACTGAGCCTGCGCGTCTGGAGCCTGTGCTCCGCAACGGGAGAGGCCATGACAGTGAGAGGCCCGCGCACCGCAATGAAGAGTGGCACCCACTTGCTGCAACTGGAGAAAGCCCTCACACAGAAACAAAGACCCAACACAGCCAAAAATAAATAAAATAAATTAAAAAAAAAAAAAATTTCCCGTATACCTCATACCCCCACATATGCACAGCCTCCACCATTATCAACATTCTCACCCTGGAGTGGTATGTTTGATACAACTGATAAAACTACAATGACCAGTGATAATCACCCAAAGTCCACAGTTTACATTAGAGGTCATTCTTGGTGCTGTACATTCTATGGGCAGACTCTCAACCACTGCGCTACCAGGGAAGCCCTGCCCATTTTTTAATTAGGTTGTAGGTTTCTACTTGCTGTTGAGTTGCAGAGTTTTTTATATAGTCTGGATATTAACCCCTTACCACATACAAAGATTTGCAAACATTTTCTCCCATTCCATGGGTTGCCTTTCACTCTGTTGATTGTGTTTGACTCAAAGAAGTTTTAAATTTTGATGAGTTCAATTTATCTACATTTTCTTTTGTTGCCTGTGCTTTTGGTTCACATCCAAGAAATTATTGCCAAATCCAATATAAGGAAGCTTTCCCTTATGTTTTCTTTTAGGAGCTTTTCAGTTTTCTCATGCATTAGGGTTCTTTCATGGACGTTTAACAATTCTCTTACAGATTTGGAAAGTCCCCACTTAAACCTAAATTATCTTTTAAAGATATACCTCTCTGAAATTAATGACTGAGAGCTATATATTTGAGGTCAAGAACTGTGTATTTTCTAACAGAAGTATAGCTGTAACAACAAATGGACACAGATAATAGTAAAAATTATCTGTTCCTTCCAAATCAATTTGGACCTCCAGTTTTAAGTCACCAATCCAAAAAACAATATAGATTCTTTTGAGAAATTCAGAAATTTCAACTTAGGGTTGCTGTTAAAATTAAAGTGTTTAGGCCCCTACACCAAAGGCTCTCTCTCTATTACAATTTTATAGTTTTCTATATGCTTTTTTAAATTATTATCTTCTCCATCCTCCATCGCCATGCCTTTCACCGCAATGAAGAGTGGCACCCACTTGCTGCAACTGGAGAAAGCCCTCACACAGAAACAAAGACCCAACACAGCCAAAAATAAATAAAATAAATTAAAAAAAAAAAAAATTTCCCGTATACCTCATACCCCCACATATGCACAGCCTCCACCATTATCAACATTCTCACCCTGGAGTGGTATGTTTGATACAACTGATAAAACTACAATGACCAGTGATAATCACCCAAAGTCCACAGTTTACATTAGAGGTCATTCTTGGTGCTGTACATTCTATGGGCAGACTCTCAACCACTGCGCTACCAGGGAAGCCCTGCCCATTTTTTAATTAGGTTGTAGGTTTCTACTTGCTGTTGAGTTGCAGAGTTTTTTATATAGTCTGGATATTAACCCCTTACCACATACAAAGATTTGCAAACATTTTCTCCCATTCCATGGGTTGCCTTTCACTCTGTTGATTGTGTTTGACTCAAAGAAGTTTTAAATTTTGATGAGTTCAATTTATCTACATTTTCTTTTGTTGCCTGTGCTTTTGGTTCACATCCAAGAAATTATTGCCAAATCCAATATAAGGAAGCTTTCCCTTATGTTTTCTTTTAGGAGCTTTTCAGTTTTCTCATGCATTAGGGTTCTTTCATGGACGTTTAACAATTCTCTTACAGATTTGGAAAGTCCCCACTTAAACCTAAATTATCTTTTAAAGATATACCTCTCTGAAATTAATGACTGAGAGCTATATATTTGAGGTCAAGAACTGTGTATTTTCTAACAGAAGTATAGCTGTAACAACAAATGGACACAGATAATAGTAAAAATTATCTGTTCCTTCCAAATCAATTTGGACCTCCAGTTTTAAGTCACCAATCCAAAAAACAATATAGATTCTTTTGAGAAATTCAGAAATTTCAACTTAGGGTTGCTGTTAAAATTAAAGTGTTTAGGCCCCTACACCAAAGGCTCTCTCTCTATTACAATTTTATAGTTTTCTATATGCTTTTTTAAATTATTATCTTCTCCATCCTCCATCGCCATGCCTTTTGAAGCTGCCATTATTATTACCTTTGAAAATGCCTAATCTGTTAACTTATTTTGCAAACAGCTGCCTCAAAAGCCTAAGGGTGCCTTTGTCACTAGGCACCAATCTAAGAGGTCTGTTTTCTGAAATAATGTTTATTCATTAATACTCCTGAACACCCACTTTGTGCAAGATACTATGGGTAATACAAAGCTGCAAAACTCACCAGAAGGGGCTTCTTATCAGGGCCTATTAAGGCCATACTCGGTATCATATTCACCCAGGATAGGGGCCTGGAAACAAAGCATAAAAGCAGGGCAGCATGGAGCATTTCTCCCCAGTGGATCATCAGAGCAGGCAATACAGCCAACAAGGAACTAGCTCTTTTCTGGCCCTCCAGATGATGTGTCAGGTTCAAGGGACCAACACACATCTGGTATGTCCAAGAGAACTTGTTAGAAGTTAGTTCAATACTAGATCATAGTTTTGAATGCCAGGGTAAGACATATAGACTTTTATTTTATTTTCTTACCACTGATTTCTGAATAAGAGATTAACATGATTGAAGCTCTAGGAATATTAATATGGCAGCAGTATGTAAGGGCACTAGAAGTTAGAGACTGGAGACAGGAAGAGTATTACATTTCACTGGTAGAATAATAATAATAATAATAATAATGATGATGATGATGATGATGATGTAACAGCAGTAGCCAACACTTTTTTTTTAACAACTTATATTAGCAAAACATTGTTCTAATGATTTTTTCATGTATTAACTCCTCATAACAACTCTATGAGGTACTTTAGGTAAAAATATTATCCCTATTTCATAGATGGGGAAATTGAGGCATGGAGAGATTAAGTAACTTGCCCAGGGTCTCACAGATATTAAGTAGCAGGACCAACATTTGAACCCAGATAATCTAGTTCCAGAGTCTCTACTATTAACCACTCAATGATACCACTTCTCAGAGTATACTACATATGCTCACGTTGCCTAATATTTTAGGAAAACGCTTAAGGAATAACTCATCCATCCCTGAAACCTGATAATGACAGAGCTGATAGTTCTGGTATTAGACTCAGCAAATCAACACATGTGAGGATATCATGTGGGACTAGAAAATGAGATCTTAAAGAATAGTTGGCACCTCTTTATTCAATGCCCACCAAGTGCCCAGTATTCTTCATGCATCATCTCGTTAAATCCTCACACCAACCTAAGAGAGGGGCATTATTTTAAATCTACCTTTTTTCAGTTGAGGAAATCTAGGCTCAGAGAGGCTATACCTTCTGTCCCTCATTATACAGCCCATCAGTGACAGAAGCAGAAGTAGAATCCAGATCCAAATCAATCCCATGTTCTTCCTACTATCTTATGTGGAGGGCATGTAGCAACGGGACAGGAATACTGCCAGTCTGGAAGGCTGCAGTCCTTCTGCCCTCAGAAGGCTAGCGCCCCCATCTGAAACACTCTGGAGCCATGCTGGTATGTGTATAGTTATGTCCCCGGGGTGTTTCCCCACCCAGCCAGAAGTTACACCAGGTGGATGCCTGAGTCAGCCCTTGTTCCAAGGCTAGAACTAGCCTGTGAGTTTGGGCAGGACTGAGGCAGCTCTGAGGATTCTTATACACAAAATACAAACGTGAAACCCCACGGAAAAATACAGGCTTGAAGGACTATCACTATGCAGCCCTCCACGAAGAGAGGTTAAAAAAAAAAAATTCTCTGAATGAGAAATGCTGTGAGTCATATGGAGCTGAGGATAGCACCTGGAGATCAGCAACCCAAGAGAAGAGAGCTAGAGATCAGGAAATTGACTATGCTTGTTTTCTCAGGGAATTCCCATATGTTTAACCTCAGTTTCTCAAAACTTATTTCTTCCAAAAATGGTTAAGACATAATGTGTAATTTAAAAAGCAAAACACAAAATTTGAAAAATGCTGGAATTTTCCTTTTTACTTCATTTATTTTTTTTCTGAACTCTTCAAATTTCCTATCATAGACACATATTACATCCAGGTATAAAAATAAAATAATCTAATTGAAATACTTTTAACCTATACTAAGGAAGAGGGGGAAAAAAACCCACAAATTTCCCATAGAGTAGTCTAATAATTCCCAAATACTCAAACAGATAACATCAAAATCACCTGAAACATTTGTAAAAAATACAAATTTCCAGAGCCCAAAGACCTACACAGTCAGAATTTCCCTGGGTGGGGCCTAGGAATCTAGAGTTTCAACAAGCTCCCTAGGTGACTATAATAATTTATATCAAGGAAGTCCAAAAGCAACTTCACTTCTCTTTTTCTAAGGTTCTTTGATGATTTATTTAATGCTAGGACAAATTTATATTGAAAGGCAAACACAATATTTAACAGTGACTGGACTGTAGACTTGGATGGCCTACTGTCTCACCATTTATCTCTGCAAACTTCTGAACATCACTTAGGGTTTTCAGTTCTTGTCTTGGACATGCTGCTACACACAGTGCTACAGACTTGATCTTCCGGTTTATCAAGTCCAGATTGCATGGATCCAAAAAGAATACGTACCTAAAGCATGAAGAAAAATATTGATATATTATTTCACAAAATACAGTCTGGTTCACTGCGTATTTGAATAAACCTAAGAGCAAAGAACATCTCATTTCCCCTTCACAAATTTAATCATAGATGAACAAACATTTCACAAATCTAATCAAACATGAATTTTTAAAAAAATAATTGCTCATAAATATACTGTTAACAGTGGGGACGGAGGAAATACGGGACTCATATTTTTCATGATCTATTTTTCTAATATTTAAAATTTTGCAATGTGTATTTTATAATCAAAATTGTCTATTTTAGTTTTTTTAAAATAACTAACTTAGTTTTATTTTTTTGACAAAGTTGTATCACCCAAATTACTGAAATACTGTTATATAACATGAATTATAATTTAAACATAAACTTTAATGAATACATAATCATATATAAAGTGTATCATTATAAAAATGAACATATATTGATATATACAAGGTGTAGCCAAGATGGCTGAGTAGGAAGACCCTGAGCTTATCTCCTCCTATGGGTACACCAAAATTACAAGACCAACAATTGATGAGAATGGTCTGAAGACTAGCAGAAAAGATTTCCCACAACTAAAGATATAAAGAAGGAATCACAATTAGATGAACAGTGGGGTGGAGACGTGGTACAGGAAAGATCCACACCTCTGGGTAGGCAACCCACAGATGGGAGGATAATCACAATTGCAGAGGTTCTCCCCAGGGAGAGAGGGATCCGTGCCCCATATGGGCCTCCAGCCCTGGGACCCTGAACCAGGAAAACAAACCTCCAGAACATCTGACTTTGAAGGTCAGCAGGGTTTGTACACTGGAGAGTCAGAGGGCAGTAGGAAACAGGGACTCCACTCTTAAAGGACACACACAAAATCTCACATGCTCCAAAACCCAGCACAGATATAGTAATTTGAAATTAGTCTAAGTCAGGGCTTCCCTGGTGGTGCAGCGGTTGAGAGTCCGCCTGCCGATGCAGGGGGCGCGGGTTCGTGCCCCGGTCCGGGAAGATCCCACATGCCGCGGAGCGGCTGGGCCCGTGAGCCATGGCCGCTGAGCCTGCGGGTCCGGAGCCTGTGCTCCGCAACGGGAGAGGCCACAACAGTGAGAGGCCCGCGTACCGCAAAAAAACAAACAAACAAAAAAAAGAAATTAGTCTAGGTCAGACCGGAGCCTGCTCCGCAACGGGAGAGGCCACAACAGTGAGAGGCCCGCGTACCGCAAAAAAACAAACAAACAAAAAAAAGAAATTAGTCTAGGTCAGACTCACTTGCTGATCTTGGGAGAGCCTCCTAGACAGGTAGGAGGCAATTTCAACCCACCTGGGGACATGATTGCTGGTCACAGCCATTTTGGGGAACTTGTTCTACCACAAGGACATTGGTGCTGACAAGCACCATTTTGGAGTCCTCCCTCTAGCCTATCAGCACCAGGGGCTTACCTGCCCACAAGCTGGTTACCCCAGGCCCAGGACGCCCCCCCACCCAGGACAAGCAGCCAGCCATGCAGGGACCCAACCTCACCATCCGATGGGCCAACACCAGCCCCAGGCACCATAGAGAGCTACCCCAGGACCTACTCCCACTCACCAGAGGGCCAAGACCTACTGTAAGCTATGCTGGGACACAGGCCTATCCACCAGCAGGCTAGCACCCACCCCAGGACTCACCAAACTTTGCAGCCACCCATGCTGGGAACCAGCCCTGCCCACCAGCAGACTGACATTAGCCCCGGACCCCCTGGAACCCACTGTCAGCCATGCCAGGACCCATGTCCATCCACCAAAAACATTAAATACTGCAGGGGGAAGAGGGTGTTAAAATTGCACCTTCCTTGTTAGAATGTCTTTGAACTTAAGAGATTATCAACTTAAAATAATCATATATAAATATGTTGTTATATATGAGCCTCATAATAACCACAAATCAATAATCTATAATAGATACACAAAAAAGAGAAAGGAATCCAAACGTTAACACTAAAGAGAGTCATCAAATCACAAGGGAAGAGAGCAAACGAAGAAGAAAGGAACAAAACAGAACTACAAAAACAACCAGAAAACAATTAACAAAATGGGAATAAGTGCACACATATTAATAATTGTTTAAATGTGAATGGACTAAATTCTCTAATCAAAAGACATAGAGTGGCTGAATCGATAAAAAAATGAAACCCATCTATATGCTGCCTACAGGAGACACACTTCAGATCTAAAGACAGATATAGACTGAAAGTGGGGGGGATGGAAAAAGGTATCCCATACAAGTGGAAACCAAACGAAAGCTGGGGTAGCAATACTTAGAACAGAGAAAATGTACTTTAAAACAAAGACTGTAACAAGAAACAAAGAAGCATATCATATAATGATCAAGGGACTGATCCAATAAGCAGATATAACAATTGTAAATACATACGTACCCAACATAGGAGCATTTAAACACATAAAGCAAATATTAGCAGACAAAGGGAGAAACTGACACAGTTTCTTGTATTATTAATTGCTAATTGCTGATTGTATTATTAACACAAGAATAGTAGGGGACTTTAACAGCCCACTTACATTAATGGACAGAAAATCAATAAAGAAACACTGGCCTTAAATGACACATTAAATCAAATGAACTTAACTGATGTATAAAGAACATCCCATCCAAAAGCAGCAGAATACACATTCTTTTCAAGTGCTCATAGAACACTGTCCAGGATAGATCACATGCTAGGCCACAAAACAAATCTCAATAAATTTAAGAATACTGAAATCATATCAAGCATCTTTTCTGGCCTCAATGATATGAGACCATAGTTGGTAGAAATCAACTATAAGGAAAAAAACTGCAAAAGTCACAAACATGTGAAGGGTAAACAATATGCTACTAAACAAGCATTGGGTCACTAAAGAAATCACAGAGGAAATCAAAAAATACCTGGAGACAAATGAGAACAGAAATACAACAATCCAAACTCTATGACACGCAGCAAAAGCAGTTCTAGGAGGAAAGTTTATAGTGATCAAGTTTACCTCAGGAAACAAGAAAAATCTCAAATAAAAAACCTAACCATACATCTAAAGGAACTGGGAAAAGAAGAACAAACAAAACCCAAAGTTAATAAAAGGAAAGAAATAATAAAGACCAGAGCAAAAATAAAATGAAATAGTGACTAAAAAATGATAGAAAAGATCAATGAAACTAAGAGTGGGTTCTTTGAAAAGACAAACAAAATTGGTAAGCCTTTGGCCAGACTCATCAAGAGAAAAAGAGAAGGCCCAAATAAGGAAAATCAGAAATGAAAGAGAAGTTGCAACTAACACCACAGAAATTCAAAGCATCACCAGAGATTACTATGAACAATTATATGCCAAAAAAATGGACAACCTAGAAGAAATGAATAAATTCCTAGAAACATACGATCTTCCAAGACTGAATCAGGAAGAAACAGAAAATATCTATACACTGATTACCAGGAAGGAAATTGATTCAGTAATCAAAAAACTCCCAACAAACCAAAGTCCAGGACCAGAGAGCTTCACAGGTGAATTCTACCAAACACTTAAAGAAGAATTAAAACCTATCCTTCTCAAACTATACCAAAAAATTGAAATGGAAGGAATGCTTCCAAACTCATTCTATGAGGCCAGCAACACCCTGATACCAAAACTAGACAAAGATGTCACAGAAAAAGAAAATTACAGGCCAATATCACTGATGAACATAGATGCAAAAATTCTCAACAAAATATCAGCAAACTGAATTCAAGACGTTAAAAGGATCACACACTACGATCAAATGGCATTTATCCCAGGGATGCAAGGATGATTTAACATCTCTCAGTCAACCAATGTGATACACTACATTAACAAATTGAAAAATAAAAATCACATGGTCATCTCAATAGATGTGGAAGAAAACTTTTGGCAAAATTCACCATCCATTTGCGATAAAAACTGTCAACAAAGTGGGCATAGAAGGAACATAACTCAATATAATAAAGGCCATAAATGACAAGCCCACAGTTAACATCATACTCAAAGGTGAAAAGCTGAAAGCATTTCCTCTAAAATCAGTAACAAGACAAGGGTGCCCACTCTTGCCACTTTATTCAACATGGGAGGCCTAGCTACAGAAATCAGACAAGAAAAAGAAATAAAAGGAATCTAAACTGGAAAGGAAGAGGTAAAACTATCACTGATATCAAATGATGATACTATATACAGAAAATCCTAAAGGCACCACCAAAAACTATCAATATTAGAACTCATCAATGAATTCAGTAAAGTTGCAGGATAATAAAATTAATATACAGAAATCTGTTATGTTTCTACATACTAACAACGAACTATCACAATGAGAAATTAAGAAAACATCTCATTTACAATTGCATCAAAAAAAGAAAAAAAAGCCCTAGGAATAAATCTAACCCAAGGAGGTTAGAAACCTACACTCAGAAAACTCTAAGACACTGATGAAAGAAATTGAAGATGACACAAATGGAAAGATACACCATACTCATGGACTGGAAGAATTAATACTGTTAAAATTACCATACTCCCCAACACAATCCACAGAGTTAATGCAATCCCTATCAAAATATCAATGGCATTTTTCATAGAATTACAACAAATAATTCTAAAATTTGTATGGAAACACAGAAGGCCACAAATAGGCAAAACAATCTGAGAAAGAAGAACAAGCTGGAGGTATCATGCTCCCTCATTGCAAACTGTACTACAAAGCTACAGTAGTCAAAACAGTGTGGTACTTGCACAAAAACAGACAAATAGAAAAATGGAACAAAACAGAGAGCCCAGAAATTAACTCATGCACTTATGATCAGTTAATCTATGACAAAGAAGACGAGGATATACAGGGGAAAAGACAGCCTCTTCAATAAATGGTGTTAGGAAAACCAGCCAGCCACATGCTAAAGAATCAAACTGGACTACTTTCTCATACCATATACAAAAATAAACTCAAAATGGATTAAAGATTAAAT